GATCTTGGATGTGGAAGTGATTCGTCGTTCGCCAGAGAGGAGAGGAGAAGAGGAGAAGCGCCGTGTGAGAGGAGAGAAGTGGTGTTAGTTCTAAAGAGAAAAGGGTTTAAAATTGATTTTTTGGTAATTTTTGAAGTTTTGGAGGGGCATTTAAGTCATTATGCCCCTCCATTTTCAGCTGCGCGCATAAGCTAAAAAATTAAGCAGGGGTCTTGCAGCTTTAACTTTTAAGAGAAAATCAATTAATTTAAGCTATGATCTATCTCTATAAGCTCTACCAAACACACCAAAACAGCTCAATTTAAACCAAAAACTGATTTAAGCTGAAAAAAAGTGCTAACAAACATGCACAATATATCCAAACACACAAAATGGTCTAACACTTGAAAGGTTAATGACAATTTACAAACACATGTAGTCACATACTAGTGTTGACGGGAACATTTTTAGGGTCAATGGAAAGAACCTCATTAAGAGAAAGAAAAAGAACAAAAAAAGAAGTATACTAGAAAGATAAACAAAACACAACACAATCCAAACTAACTAGAGTTAATCATAACAGTGCATGGGATACTACTAATTGGAGGGCCTTCTGAGTCGGTTTTTTTGAGTCGGTAGATTTTGTCGTCGCAAAAGCTAGTCTTTTTGCAATGGCAAGGAATTACCGACGCAAATACCAAACTTTAGCGTCGGCACCGTTGGCCAACACAAAAAATTAATATTTTATAACATTACTTGAGTCAGTTGAATTTACTGACGCAAAAGATAAACCTTTTGCGTCGACAAACCCGTGCTGACGCAAAAAGCTAGACCTTTTTGTGTCCGCAACTGATGCCGTGGCAACAAAAAAAAAAATTTATACTCAAGATATATATATTTACTTGATTATGTTTAATAAATATATTTGTTTATAGATATTTTTTTATATTAATATTGAGTGTATATACTATAAATAATATTTATCTCATTTAAAATTAGAAAGAGGTATTGTGGTGCAGTGGGCTAAGTGTGGTACGTTGGGTTCAAGTTACCCGGATGAAGTGGGTGGGTTCAAATCATGGGTTAAATTTTTTAAAACATTTAACCATTTTTGGCGTCAGTAACTTAGCGTCTCAAAAAATTAAAACTTTTTGTGTCAGCAACTTGCCGACTCAAAAACCTTTTGCAATCCGACCAATTTCATCCCTTGAGTTATAGTCGCAGCACCGTCACAAAAATGTTTTGCGTCGGCAAACATGCTACTTGCGACGGTACACTGCCAACTCGAAATCGCGAAAACCCTCTTTTTTAGTAGAAAGCACTAGGCTTGGAGAAAATGCAAAGATCGAATCTAAAAAATAGACAATCAAAACAACACTTCCAAATAAGCCTAATAATCCCATATTAGGTATCTAAAGCCTACATGTGGGGCCGAGGTAACCGAGAACTAAACTAAACATTAGATTAAGAAACATGGGAACCGAATTAATTTTGTTTGGTTCAAGGTTGGATAGATGAGTAAACTAACCTAACCACACAAAAAAAAACCCTTTAATTTTATATTTAAAAGGTTGGTGTATATAGTTTGATCTTAACAGGGAATAGGGCAGTTTGTTTGCTATACAAGTTGAAGAACAAAAGATCTCAGAAAGTTGCCTAAAATATCAGGAATAGCATTCAAATTATCAAGCAATAGTGCAACAAGGTGAACCAATTTTACCCACAAAAAACACGCATGCACTCTTTCATAAAAACACAAATTTACCACCTTGAACAGCAGCTTCAATTCAAGAGTTTCAATCCGATTTAGAGTCCCGACTGCACATTGAAAACGATGATTTAAGCAAAGATATCAGAGGCTAAAAAACATGATTGCTTGAAGGGCTGTAGTTGAATCCCTATTGCTAGCGGTTTAAAGCCTCCAAAGTTTAGGATAGAACATAAAACACACTGTTTTAGACATACACAAATGTATGCTTCCTCTCAAGTCTCATCTTGTAGTGCCTCTACTTGCTCACATATGAATTTATTTCAAATCATATCCCTAGGGCAATTGATGTCAATTTGAGTTGCAATCAAATTAAGCTTGCAAGTATACGAATCCTGTGCACAGACGGTGCATATTATGAGATCAATCCCACGAGAGTTGACTTAAAGGAGCCAAATTGCAGAATTCTAAACTAATTCAACAATGATGGATTGGTTTTATAAATGAAGGAAATAAAAGAATCATAAAGAAAGATGAAGGAAATTCTGTTGAGAATATCATAAGAGTAAGGCACAGAGTCCACCTCCATTCATCATAATACTAGGCATCTAATGCAAGTTCACATAATATGTAACCTAATGTATTTTACAGATTTCCAGCACATCTATGTTCTTGATTAGACACAAAAGATGTTTCTCTTTCTCACAGTCAGTAGAAAATGCCCTGTCTATGATCAAACACAAGCATTTATTGGTTTCCAAAAACCATCCAAACCTATTCTATGTTCAAGCATACAAATTTGAAAAGGTAGAAACATTCATTATTCATGAAGAAAAACACTCAGAAGCATAATAGAAACAATCTTAGAGCTTCCTTATAGCCCTAGCAAAGAGATTCTAATGGAGTGGAGATCAGCTTGATCTTCCTTGGTCCGCTGGAGCCTACCATCTATATTTTGCTGGGTATTCTTTGTGTTTTTTTCTTTTCCTCTTTTTATTCTCTCCCCCTCTACTTTGCCACAGCCCCATTTTTCATGTCCTACCCATTACTATCCTTAGCTCTCAAGACTTTTAAATAAAACAGTACTCTTCTTTACAGCACCCAGAAGCACCTTTAGATAAAATAGAACTCTTCTTTACAGCACCACCAAGCACCTCAGGCAGCTGCCATTTGCTACCAAGCAAAACAATGAAATAAACTTTCTTTAGGTGTTGCTTTTTGTGGTGAAGACAAGTTCAACTTTAATTTTGTATGCATAAAAAATCACCAATTTCCTGCAAATATTTGATAAAGGTGTATATATGTCTAATTAAACATAAAATCAACTAAAAAAATATAATTTTGAGATTAATATATATATATTTTACAATTATCAGCTATTAACAAGCCCAACTAAGCTATGTCGTGGGTTGTTCAAGCTTAGTTTGGAAAATTACACCTTATTTATTGTATGAATTTTAATTGAGTCGATCATGAATTGAGCTCAAGTAGTTCATATATATATATATGATCTTAAAGTACTTATTAGCTTATCAAGCCAAGGTTGAGCTAAGCTTAGAAAATTAATGAGTTTTAAAATTTGTTCAAGTTTGGATTCTTTTTATCAACCATCAATCTCGAATGGATTTTTAAAGAATCAACAAGTCAAACCCAAGTAGTTCGGTTTGTTTTGCAACCCTCCCTATCCCTTCCACTCTACCCACATTCACATTTTTTGAAATTGTATATTGGAAACATGGCTTCAAAGTCAAAGTCATGTTTTAAACAAACTGGGATTGGGAAGTGTCTGAATTTTGGGAAACAAAAATGCTAGAGGCCGCAAAAATTCTACTAAAAATTTTACCAAATGTCTCACATAGGTGTGGAACCTACATTGTGTGTAGGTCCCACACCTATGTGAGACATTTGGTAAAACTTTTGGTAAAATATTTGGGGTCTCTAGCATTACTCTTTGGGTGCGTTTGTTTGGACGGACTGGATAAGGGGGTTTGTAATCCATCGGACTATTAGTCCCAGGATACATTGTCCCCGGACTATTTGGTTGGACTGAATTTGTATCCTATGTTTTTTTAGTCATGGGATTAGATGTCTGGATTGGACTATTTTTAATGAATCCAATGTTTGGTTAGACGGACTGGATAAGGATAAATGTTCAAAAGACTATTTTATCTTTGTAAATTTAATTTATAAGGCCATAATTTTTAATTTATTATTTTCAATTAAATTTAATTTATAATTTATAATTTATATTTTTTATTTAATATATAATTTTAAACTAACGACAATAAAAAAATAATTTTATTTAATATATAAATTAAATTTTCAACAACAACTAAAAAAAATTAATTTATAAGGCCATAATTTTTAATTTATTATTTTTAATTAAATTTAATTTATAATTTATAATTTAATTTTTTTATTTAATATATAATTTTAAATTAACAACATTAAAAAAATAATTTTAGAAAAATATGAAAAATTAATTTTTTAACAACACTAAAAAAAATTAATTTATAAGGCCATAATTTTTAATTTATTATTTTTAATTAAATTTAATTTATAATTTATAATTTAATTTTTTTATTTAATATATAATTTTAAATTAACAACACTAAAAAAATAATTTATAAATGTTCAAAAGACTATTTTACCCTTTCTAATTGTTTACTAAGTAATAGCATGGAGGGTAAAATGAACATTTCACCAAATAATCCCATGGGATACCAATCCCATGTTTCTATCCCACGGTTTCTATCCCACACCCCCATGGGATAGAATAGTCCCATATTTGTGGGACTAATAGTCCGGGGGGACTATTAGTCCGGAGCAAAATTTTGCAAACAAACAATAGACTATTAGTCCGGTGAGACTAATAGTCCAATCTCACACCCTTATCTCTCAAAACAAACATGCTCTTTGGGAAATAATTGTTTAAACACTCAGGATTGGTATAAAAAAAAAACTCATTGAAGAGGATGATCACCTTTTGGGGTATGCACTATGAAATACACTAGCGCAGAGATATCGCCAAAGGAGAAAGAATGCCTTGGTACTCCCCATGGCAAGATTGATCAGCAAAAATTACTCAAGAAAGAACTACACAGATTTCTCTTGTACCACCTAGAATGCAGAATGATAAGAATAGTTTCTCCGACTTCATGATTGCATCAAGCCAGCTAGAAAGCCAAGTTGTGTACTACCGTTTTTATCATGCCAAAGTTAAACAATATACCATGACAAAACAGCAAAAGCTTCAGAACAAAAATATCATATACATTGCAAATCACACGAGCAAAATATCATTACAGCAAGATAAGTGTGATCACATTAATATACAAATTGGCATTCACATTCAAAAAAGTTTTGTGGCTTCACATTACAACATAGCTGCAAACAGCTGGGCAGAATACAAAAACTCATTCAAAAGCCAACACCATACATCTCAATAGGACACCAGATCCTGCTAAACTAGTGGAAAGACAAGCAAAATCAACTCGATGTAATCAAGCATAAGGGACAGACAAATAATTCTCAGTACAATTTATCTACGGTTTGAAGAAAGCCATGAACAAAACATCATAACATTAAAGTTAATGAAACTAAACACCGAATTGAAGTACTCTGCAATCAGAAGCAGGGGAAAACATTTTATAAAAAAAAGAAAAAAGAAGAAAGAAAAAAAAATCGTGAGCAGAACAAGAATTCTTCTTCTAACACTTGTTCAAGAACATTCAAAAGCTACCATTTGAATTATTGTTTGACCATCTCCTGAAAGTGCAGGGCACAAGACTCCTACCTCCAAAAAGGCCAAACCTTGACTTGAAAAATGATGTCCGGCCATTACTGGTCGATGGAGCATCCACAGCAGCCGCAGTAATACTAACTTGGCTCACCATTGTAGGAAATTCAACACCATCTTCTTGTGCTCCACCATCACTTGCACTCGCATCGAACCCTTCAGCTTCAACCTCACACACATCCAAATTGACCACCAAAGATTTTCTCTTCACCCTCAACCAATCAGCAAGATCACTTGTCACTCCCCTGCACTTCTTAACCTTTATTTTCACCAAATTAGGACAACCCCAAGCAAAAGTTTGAATACCTTGATCCGATACCGGGCATCCCTTAATGCAGAGCTTCTTTAATGCAATGCATTTTGCAGCGATACACGAAATTTCTGCATCCCCAATTGTCTCACTGCCACAAAGCGCTAATCGTTCCAACTTTTGACAATTGGTTGCGAGTGCTTCGAGGCTAATTGAGCAAGGATTGACACCAATTAGGACCAGTTCTTGAAGATTGGCACAATGCTTAGCAATCGCGATCAGGCCTTCGTTTCCTATCCGATTCGTCCTCCACCCATCAATGTGGAGCTTCCTCAACATCTTACAGTGTTCAGCCATGCTCACAATCCCAGCATTCGTGCAATCGGGAGTCTTGACGAGGTGCAAAATCTCAAGATCCAAACAATTCGAAATCGCCATAAGACCAGCATCGCTCACCTGAAGCCTCTCCAAATGAATTTCGACCAAAGAGTTGTTTCGATTTGAGATCATTTCCAAAAGCCTATCCCAATCACCTAAACATCGCAACAATTTCAGAGTTTTCAGATTCTTTGCTCCAACGATGAGGGGTCCAAAGCACTGTCCATTGTAGAGCTCCTTGAGGCATATGGTTTTCAGAGACGAAGCGGCGACGCCGGGGCCAATAGGCTCGGCGGCGATGGCGGCGACGCCTCCGCCGTCGTTGATGCCACGAAGGCGCTTGACGGAGAGCTCTTCGAGAGAGGAACAGTGATCAAGCACAGCGTTCATCCCTTTGACTCCGAACATGCAAGATCCACATGAGAACTTCTTCAAACCCTTGCAGTTCTTGGCGAAAACGGCCATGCCGAGGTCGGTGAGCTCGCGGCAGCCGCGGAGCTTGAGGCGCGTGAGGTTAACGCAGCGGAGCGAGATGAGAATGAGGGCGTCATCGTCTAGGCTGACGGATCGCCGGTCGCATCGGAGAGCGAGCTTCGTGACGGCGTCGAAGCGAGAGAAGAGAGAGGGGATGAGAGGGAGGAGGTCAGCCTGGGCGTTGAGAGAGAGGCGGTGGCGGCTCTGACCTTCCACCAGCAGCCACCGCTTGCAGACGAGAGAACAGTATTTTCGGTCGCCGGAGCTTAGGAACTGAAAAATAAAGGCCAAGCACTCGTCGGGGAGTTCGGAGATGTACTCTTGGGTTCCCATAAGGTCCGATTGAAGCTCCGGAGTGTCTTGGTGTGTCTGCTGCGTCAGAGAGAGAATCTCCGATGGAACGGTGGTGGTACGGTGGTGGTTGGTCAAACCGTGGGTCGAAGAGGACTGGCCCATCAAAGGGGACGGTGGTGGTGGGTGGGTTATGGAGTCAGGGATCTGATCATTTTAAAATACACACGCAGGGGGATCATGTGAGGGGAGTGGTATGTAGTATGGGGATGACGAAGAAAGAGGGATGATGGCGGAGTGAAATGGGGGTTGGGTGGGTCGCAAATTGACACGGCGGACCAGTCATGGACGGTAGGGGTGTGTGGTCCATTCAAACGGTTTGAGGATAAAATTACAAATTAAATTGTAAATTGATGGATTAATAGATTAGCAAATGGCAGTGACTTTGCTCCAGTTCAAGATCGGATTAGACCGTACTGTTGGGTTTGTGGAGGTCTATCACGGGTTCTGTTTTGATAATCCGAATCGTTTAATGTGTAGAATTCGTCGAGTATTACATGTCTGTAAAAAATCACGTTGATCGAATATCAATAGCTATGTATAAAAAAAAAATGGACTGTAATGGACGGTGAAACAATTAGCGGTTGATAAAAAAGTGTTTTGTTCACATAGTTATCGATATCCGATCAACGTGATTTTTTACAGGCATATAGTACTCGACGAGTTCTACACATTGAGCGGTTAAGATTATCAAAACAGACCAAAAAATGGGCCCCATAAGCCGAACTGGACGGGTCCAGTCTTGATCTCAACTTGAGACAAGCTGGACCCTTAGCAAATCGTAGTTTGGAAGATTTTGGAAATATTGGTGAATTGAAAAATATTTTAACCAATTATTACGTATTTGTATAATATATAATATTAATTTGTACAATATATATATATATAATATAAATTAATTTTACGTAATATATTTCATATATATAATTATTAATTTATAACAAATTTTACCTTTTAAATATTTTTGCACTCATTTTTCTTTTAATATTTTATTAAAAGTTAAAAAATTATATATATATATATATATTAACTATAACGGAACGAAATAGAATGAAGATTATAAATTTAATAAAAATTATAAATTTTAATTTTAATTTGTAATTAACAAAGAGAATAAATTAATATAAATTAAGCGATATTTTACACCGTTCTAATCAACTGTCATCGTGGTGGGTTTGCTCTTCACCAACTATCTAAAATTTGTCGCGTAACGCGTCGATCATATCAATGAGTTCCAGGAAATTGAAATGCTGCAGATTTTAATGTATGAGTTATACGGATGATATGATATTAACAACAAGAGCAATACTATGAAGAAAAAAAAAATCAACTTGTTTAGTTTTAATTTTGGGAAAATATTTTTTAAAAAAATTTATTTTTTATTTTTTTGTATTTTTTTTGTTTTCAATGAATTTTTTAATATTTTAAATAATTTTTTAATATTTTAAGCATTGTTTTTAAATTTTTAGATACACCTAACATAAATACAATAAAAAGTATAATATTTATGAAATTTTTTTAAAAAAATTCACTAAATATCAAAAATATAAAAATTTAATATATTTTCCGTATTTTTGTGTATTTATTAATTTTTTAAAATATTTTTTACAAATATTTTACTATTTAGATACATTTAAGTAAGGTACATCTAAAGAAGTAAAAAAAATTACTTAAAATTTTAAAAATATTCACTAAAAACAAAAAACAAAAACAACAAAATTAATTTATGAAAAATTAAATTCAAAAAATTGAAACCAAATACACTTAATATTACATTTATCTAGTTTTGTTTCTCGAATTTTATTCGTTGCTAACACTCATATGAAGTAATTTCAGATAGAACTGAAAGAACAAAATTAGGGGATGAATTTTTTTTTCTAATAACAAATAATAAATGATTTATTTATTTATTTTTATTTTTTTTGAAGCAACAAACAATAAAGGATCAGCCTTTGCCACACATGCATAGGAGAGTAAAATGTTGAGACATTATTAAAAAATAATCATAAAATGTTTCATAAAGGTTTTTTATTTTTGGATTATACATACAATTTTGAATCAAAAAAAAGATTATACATACAATAAAATATCACATACTAATTAAAGGATGAAAAATTTTCATAAAAAATTTCATGATTTTTTTTTTTCATAATTCCTAACATTTCTCATTATTAAATAATAACATTAATAACATGATATTTCTATTGTATTGAAAAAAAATTTCTCCCGTACATTCATGCGACGTTCACTTCAACGTCGAGTAAGTGTGTTTGATTTTAATAATTAAATTCATAATTTTTAATTTTTCTTTTTTCCATCAAAATAACAACAAATTATACAACATATTTTACATGTACGAGGCAAAGTTCACATTGATGCTATAATTTTATTTTATTTTTTTAAAGAAGAATTTTAAAGAGTAAAAAAGAATTGCACTTTAAAATATATTCTAAAAGTAGCAATTGTATAATTTGTCTAAAAAATTAATGGGTTTGAGTTCTCTTAATTGGACATTGAACATCAATTGAAGAGAATTCTCAATTAAAAAGGTATAGTTGAATTTTTTTTTTTTTTAACAACTCTTATTTGTTTGAGAACATATTTCAATTTTCATTTGTTCTTAATGATTTTTGTTTTCATATTTTAGTTAAAAATTTATTTTTTCAATGCATTTAGTTTTGATGTATCTAAAAAAAATTTAAAAAAATGGCTAAAATATAAAAAAGAATTCAATAAAAATAAATAAAATTTCGTTTAAAAATAATTTTATGAAAATGTAAACCTTTTTTGGATAAGCTGAAAATGTAAACCAAATGAAGATTTATTTCTCATGTTGTATTCTGACGTGAATAGGTAGGTGTGTACGCGCATTTGGGAAGGGCCTGTGCGGCTGTGTCATCGTGCCTGTTTGGCAGAACTTTCGTCATTAAGAGTAGGATGAATAAGTGACCTAATCAAGAAGGCAACTATGCAGCGAAGCTTGAACCACCCAATGGGCTACTTATTTGTTTGCTGAGCGAGGACTCAACTGATGCAGATTTGGAGCCCTTTTTTATGCAACATCACAATTCACTTTGAAAAAACCAGGCTGGGAGAGGGGAAGCCATCTAGTCAATCCATCCAAAGTGCGCATGGACACCTTCATATATATATATATATATATATATATGTATATTTATATGTTTTATTTAAAAGGTTATCAAATAAAAAATTGGGTTAAAAATTTAAAATAGATTAAGGTAAATTTCTGGTTTAATTTTATGGTAATAAGTAAGGGTGTTTATGTTAATTTTTATTTAATATATATATATATATAATTAAAATGTTATTAAATAAAGAAATTGGGTTAAAATTTAAAATTTATATTAAGGTAATTTTATGGTATCAAATTAGGGTATTTAGGTTAGTATATAGTTTAATTTGTTAAATATGTGAATAAGATAAACAAAAAATTATATGTATTAGGAAAAATTCTATAGGGCCGTTTTGATATGTGTAGTTTTTAGTTAATATTCATTATATTATTAGTTATGACTCATTATTGCGATAGGTATGACTTTATTTTGACTTCCTATAATTTTTATTTTGGTTATGATCGGAGTTGCTCTAGAAGCTAAAGCTAACTCAAACTCCTCTCTTACCACTCAAGCTCGATGTAAAGTCGGAGAGGGCTCAATCAAAAATGCTGATAAAAAATAATTTCTAGATAAACCAACCAGCCCAAGCTACAATACTGAAAAAAGAATTCCTCTCGTCTTGGTTTTGAAACAACTCCATCATGTTGCAAGACCATCGTACGACCAACGGAATAGACTACTCATGACATTTAAAGTTGAGCTCGCTTCCAAACCATACTGGTCTAACCCGCTCAAAACCAAAAAGCATATGTTCAACAAATTCTAGAAATGCCTGGCAAATAGGTATATTATGCGCGCCAAAAAAAAAATTAAAAAATTACGCCTCCGTTTGGAAAGTGGGTTCACTTTTTGATTTTTTTGATTATTTTAATTTGGACTAAAAAGCTTAGTTTAGGAAGAATTTTTTGACTTTTTAAACTTTTTTTGTGAGAGAAGAGTGTAATGATTATGAGTTGGATGTGATATTTTGTTTGTTGTAGCTAAAATAACTTGTTTTGTCTTTTGTGGCTAAAATAACCACAAAAGTCTTGCCAAACGGAGTCATAGGTCAAGTTCATTATAATTTTCTCCAAAATATATATTTTTTTGAATTCTTAAAGAATGCTAAAATGTATAAAATAAAACTTGCAATTTATTCACGATGACTTCATCAGATAATTAGATCCTATGTGATTAAATTTGTAATAAATTTAAAATTAGCACATAATTTGTCATGTTGTTATAAATATTATAAAAAATAAAAATAAATAAAAACGACAATTTTTTTATCAAATGAAAATGTCATTTGTCAATTTTTGTATATCAAAAAGGTGAATGGTTAAAATACTGTTTAACTTTTTTTGTTCCTTCATTGTTTGAGATTATTATTATTATTTTTTTTTTTTTGTGAACGATCATTCGAGATTAGCTTGAACCAAAAGTAAATCCCACTAATAATCCAATTTGTGTATTGAACCAATCAAGATTTTAGAAAATAATGATTAAAGAGAATTAAATTACAAATAAAAATTAAATAAAATCTTACCAAAAATGATATTGTAATAATATTTTTAAAATAATAAGTCATTTCAATAGAGCTTATTATATTAATTTGAATATCAGTACCGAAAGCTGAGTAGAGAGCAGCAACAGTGTTGAGTCATCATAATTAGGATAAATTATAAATACATTAGTTGAGATTCGATTAAAATTTGTTTAAAATATAAATTGTGCCATATAATTTTAGAAATTATATTTTGCTCTTTTAAGTTTCTAATCACATAACAAATAACTAATTTATTAATAAATTATTAAGTTAATTAACAGTTTTTAATAACGTCAAAAATATATTTCAATTAACGATTTAGGTAATTTTATTTGTATAGGAGAATAGTTAAAAATTTTATTTTTTTAATTTATTTTGTTAAATAAAAAAATATGACAAGTGAATATTTATAATTTCTAAAATTAGATAGAACAATTCATATTTTATAGAAATTTGAGATGTATTTGTATTTTGTCCTAATAATTACTTACATAAGGGTGAGGTGAAATACAAAGTTTGAATGGGATGTTTGGAAAGGAGTTGAGCTAAAATAATTTATAAGACAAAATAAATTAAAATAGTTAATAAGACAAATATTACATTTAATTCATAATTA